AAGCTGCAGTCATCAAAAATGCTTTCTTCTACTAAAGTGAAATGCATCTCTTCAGAACCCCCAACAATCCCCAGTGATAAGGTGTGGATATTTGTCCCACCCAAATCTCGTGTTGAAATGTGATCTCCAGTGTTGGAGGTAGGGCCTGGTGGGAGGTGTTTGGGTCATGGGGGCAGACTCCTCATGGCTTGGAGCTGTCCTCACCAGAGTGAGTGAGTTCTCATGAGATCTGGTTGTTTAAAAGTGTGTGGCACCTGCCACTACACACCTTGCTCCACTCTCACCATGTGGCATGCCTGCTCCAGCTTCGCCTTCTGCCACGGGTAAAAGCTCCCTGAGGCCTCCCCAGAAGCCAAGGAGATGCTGGTGCTACTTCTTGTGCAGCCTGCAGACTGTGAGATAACTAAACCACTTTCCTTTATAAATTACCCAGCCTCAGATATTTGTTTATAACAACACAAAAACAGCCATACACACCTGGAGCCCATTTCTGATGTCTTTAGCAATCCCGGTTTCTCAAGACAGAGCTCTAGAGACTAAGGAGGTGGTTCTGTTCCTCCACCCATTCCTCCCACAGCTTCTCCTTTCCAAGACAAACATTCCCCAGGTAATCATTAAAATGACTTCTGTGATTTATATTTCCTTCTCTTTCCTCAAACACAGCAATGTTTTGTTTGTGTGCTGTCATCCAAACAGCAATGTGGAGGAGGCTGAAGACATGGGGCCCATTCTAGATCCTAGAAGCTCTGTGACCTTCAGCGTTTTTCTCCATATGTTTTCTGAGGTCTCAGTGGAAGCAGGTGGGAAGAAGTGCTCATCCTACTTTGGAGCTCTCACATCTCACAGGAAAGCTGCCCCTTACTGCTGGGCTTCCTGCACTAAGTGCCTCCTCCCAGGTGGGGCCCCCCTTTGTGCTTGCTCGTGAAGAGGCATGCCAATAACACCCCATAGAGGACATAGGTAAAACACCAAGCCCAGGTGAGGTCACGCTTGAGATCCATTCCCAGCACCTGAGCAGGGTCACATAGAGATAATTCACCAATGCCAAAGACGTCACCCACCAGGTAGTTCCATTCTGTGCCAAACCCTAAGGCCAAGCAGCAAGGCAGCCAACGCGTTGTCCCCAGACAATAAAGCATGGCCCACATTGTAACTATTTTTGTAGAAGTAAAGCTCATGAAGAGAAATGGGTTCTGACTGAGCCAATGTTCAGACAGAGAACATTCTTAATAATTTTAGATACATGTCCAATTTTGAAAATAGATTTTTTTCCCTAAGCCAAGCTTCTATGTAGCAGCATTTCTCATGAGTAATTTGGTATAACTACAAATCTCTCTCACAATTCCTGGAACAGTGAACAAAGGAGAAACAAGGAATCACTAACACTCTTTGTAACCCATGAGACTACCTAGAACCCCCCAGTGGTCCCAGGGGGACTGTTCCCACACCCCTCCCACTCTGTATTCTGAGCCTATTTCCCCAAACCCTATTTCCCAAAGGAGGTAGAGCCTCTGGTCGTTGACCCCAGATCCCAGGAAACATCAGCGAACACCCTGGCATGGCTTTTTGTGGTGGACCAAGCACTCCTATTGGGTCAATCTTCCTATGTGTCCGATGAAGTAGTATTACAACTGCAGTTTCACAGATGGGGAATTTAAAGGACACATCCAAGGTCACAGAGCTGCTAAGTTCTAGAACAGACCCCATATCTTCAGATTCTTTGTCTAACTGCTGCTTGGATCCACATGTGTTTGAGGAAAGGGAAGGAAACCACCATAGTAGTCATGTTTAACCTGCATCTGAAATCTAACTACTTTAACTAAGACTTTTACCCAAGAAAGAAAAGATTTACATTGGGATTGTGACACATTACATTATTGACTCAAATTCTTCTTCCCTCCCTGTTGCCACACGCTTTGACCTAGGACTTCGCAGTTCCTCATAAGAAAAAGACAGAATGTATTCTCCTATTCCTCAGCTCTGTGAGGTATAAGGCAAAATGACAATGTGCTGGCCCCAAGACAAGGCTCGAGAGCCTGGCATGCTTCCAGTTGCTCTGATGTCTGTCCTATCACCATGAGAAGAGCACCCCCGAACTGGCCTGCTGGTCCCAGGAACAGCCTAAGAGATCCAAGGTGCAGAGATGCCCCAACTGAAACACCCAACCAAAGCCAGCAAGAGCGTGGCCCTCTGCCAACCTGCAGCAAAAACCCCTTAACAATCAGACTGGTACAGGCTGCCTGCCCCTGTAGGAATTGGTACAGAAGAAGTCCTAACCTCTCCATCAGCGAATTCCTATATTGAAAGAGAAGCTGGAATACACTGTTCCAGACTTTGGGATTTTAGAAATGAATAAAGTTGGGAAAAAAAAAAAAGCGGAGGCAGGGGAGGTCCTAGGCTACTAACTTTTTGCTTTTCCAAGCAAAGGCAATATATAAAAATAACCATGACTTACTATCACCATCAATTCATAAAAGATAGGACATTTTAACACTAAAACTGAGGAAAGGATATAATCTTAGAATATGGAACAGTCCTTTCTAAGGAAAGATACTTGGCCACCCTCCATATGTGAGCCTTTTTCCTTCCTTCTGTCACAGATCAATGAAAATTCTGTCACAAAATAGCTCCAGCCTGTGTAACAGCAACTTTTCTGCACGCTTTATGGTAGAACTGTCAGAAGAACATGAAATTAGCTACATAAATTGTGAGACTTAAATCTTGGTTCTGTTTGTTCTGTGACAATACAAAAGTTACCTTTTTAAAAAAAAAAATTCAAAGAAGAAAACAAAGCTAAAGATAAATTTGAGCACCTGGGTCGCACCTTCTCCACTGGCTACCAAAGACAGTTGGAGCACCCAGCACAGCTGCCAACCCTCCCCTCCGTGCCACTCCCGAGTTGCACTCGCAGCTCTCTAAGACGCCAGTGCTGTACTTCCATGACCATAATAACATCTGAATAACAAGCACAGTGGTGACTTAAATGAAAGCTCTACTGGGGCTACTGGGACACATAACTGGGACAAAAGGGAGAGGCAGAGAATCCCCAGCACCAGCTCCAGGGACACACGGCCCAGCCAGTCATGAGTGCTGTCTTCTTTCTAGGCTCTAGAGAGCCAGTCCAACCTTCTTCCAGATGTGTGGTGACCTGGGAGAAGAAAGGGGTCTCAAAGTGGATGGTGGTTATGACAGACTAGATTATCCTTTGAAACTATCCTCTGTGCAGTGGATGCCACACTGGCTCTGGCTAACAAAATGTGAGCAACAACTTCATGTGTCAGTTCCCTGCAAAAGCTTTAGGAGCCAATGTGTGGTTCTCGAAGTCTCTCATCTCTCTCTATCATGAGATCATCAGCATTTTCTTTTCAAGATTGAGTTTTGCTCTTGTTGCTAAGGCTGGAGTACAATGTCACTATCTCAGCTCACGGCAACCTCTGCCTCCCGGGTTCAAGCAATTCTCCTTTATCAGCCTCCCAAGTAGCTGGGATTACAGGGGCCCACCACCATGCCCGGCTAATTTTTTAAATATTTTAGTAGGGTTTCACCATGCTGGCCAGGCTGGCTTTGAACTCCTGATCTCAAGTGATCCACCTGCCTTGGCCTCCGAAAGTGCTAGGATTACAGACATGAGCCATGGCGCCAGATCAACCATCGGTGTTTTCAATAGAGGCAGCTCCTGCAGTCTGAGGCCCAGACTAAAGTCTGTAACCAATTCCCAAAGGGCACATAACATGGGTAAGAAATAAACCTTGATTAGAGGGGGTCACTGAGACTTCAGAAGCATTTGTGACCTACAAATGGACCTACAAATATCCAAGCTGACCTACACGATAGGGATGCTATTCATTGGGTTGGAGAGCTCAACAGCAGTGGCAATGGAGGAAGACGGCGAGCTCGTCTTGGAGGTATTTCTGTATTTGGTCCATGGGTGACAGGCAGGGGTGAGTGTTCAATATAGAGATGCCTAAGACACAGGGCCCTGACCCCACCGAGCACATGATCAGCTGGGAAGGCTCTGGATTTTCAATGCAGAGAAGCAAGGGCTGTTCTTTGGAAGTGGAAAGCCTGGGATCTAATCCCAACCGGGACATTTCCTTCCCACCTTCATCCATTCCTCCCACGGGTACTTACTGAGCCAGGCACAGGGGAAACAAACAAGGTCCTTAACCTCACAGGCTCACATTCAGGTGGGAGGAGAGACTAATTCAGGTGGGAGGAGAGATTTACTAATAAGTAAATCTAGTTAATACCAGCTGGGTACACTCTCTTCAGGAAATGAGCAGGTGAGCTGAGGGACACTGGGGAAGGCAACTGTAAGTAAGAAGCCCAGGAAAGGCCTTTCTCAGGAGGGGAGGTTTGAGATGGAAAATGAGAACGGGTCAACCATGCCGACAGCCACGGAAAGACAGAACACATGAGCAGAGCCATGGCAAGCACAGAGGGCCTGAGATGGGAAAGAGGATGGCTCGTTTGAGGAACAGGGAAAAGGCCAGAGCTTTGGAAAGCAGGTGGGCAAGGAAGGGCTTTCAAGGAGCCATCCTGACCTAATAGTCTATGTTTGGGTGATGCTGACCTCTTCATTCAGCCATCTGTCATCTAATCAAGTCTGTACCCGGAGCCTACAGTGTGCCAGGCTGTGGCCAGGATCCAGGGATGTAGGTCCTGTCCACCAGGTGCTCCGGCAACTCCCAGAGCTCGCTGTCTTATGACCACAAAGAAGATGCCTCTGAGGAGCCCTTGGTGGCTACAGAGGCTGTGAGGTGACAGCAGTGGGTGAGAGCCATGTTCATCCCTTCCCAGAAGAGTGGGGAGTTCCCATTCAGCATCCCTGGGGCCTGCAGTCTCCTGGACTCTTGCTGGGAGGTACTGGGGGCAGAATGGAGACTGCATAAAGTCCTCTTCCCGCTGAGTATAACAGTCCCTCAGCACCCCTCCCCAACCCCAGAGAGACGCAAAGCTGTGGAAATCATCTGGCACAGGGCCCAGAAAAATGGTCCTACCGTGGAACCAGGGGGCAATAAATTTGGTGTTCCTCTCAAAGCCAGCTCGGCGAGGCAGCTGCTCCTCCTGAAACCAGCGGACGATGATGTCTCTGGAGACTGGGCGCAGCGGGCGCTCCCAGGTCCTGCTGAAGAGAAGAAAAGGGAGGCCGGAAGAGTCAGGGAGGGAGAAAGGATGGAGGGAGGAAGGGAAGGAAGGAAGAGAGGAAAAGGAGAGGGAGGTAAAGGAAGAAGGAGGAAGGGGGGTGAGAGAAGGGGCAGGGGAGGGCCGTGAGACTATGAATAAGCACAGTGCCCACATCCATGCCTACAACGAGGATTAAAACAGCCCAGGTACTTGAAGGCACTTTGCAGATTATAGTGTACCAGCTGTTACTATTTACTTAAAAGAAAACTGTGATCGATTGCTTCAAAAAACAGCCACACAGGTGGGAATGAAGAGGCTAGGAGCAGGTGTCTGAGGCAAGGAAAAGGCACATTTTCCCTCGAGCATGGCCAGGGTATAAATACCAGCATGGATGAAGGAGGCCCCTGACGGGACAAGAGCTCGTGTGCTAGGAACTGAGTGTGTCCCATCCCCTTCTCTCCCTCAGAAAAATTCGGGATCTTGTCCCCTCCTTACCTCTCCCTCCCTGCTCTCTGAGGGGATGCCAGCCTTTGCCACAACTCCTGCACTTTTGTGAGGGAGAATCAGGACAATGAACAGAGAGAGAAACCAGAGAACCTCAATTTGCTCTGGAAATGACTAAGTTTCCCCGCCCAGAAAATAAAAAGTATGACAGAGGAAACAGAGGTGGAAGGAAACAAACACATTGGTAACTACAGATGGAATGGGTGAGGAACTAAAGGCATGAAGGGCAGAGGAGGAGGAGCACAGGAAGAGTTTAGAGGAGGGAGTAGATACGTTTTGAAGTTTTCTCACAGGTGAGCCAAGATGGCCATTGCTTTCGTGTCTGAACTGCAGTTCCAGGATGTGTGCGTAGACTGGGCCACATGAGACCCCGCTGCACTTGGGCTACACTGAAAGCACATAAGAGCTGGCAGCACACGACACATGACAGACATCCACAACTATGTGGTGAAGTACAATGCAGTGACGCCACGGTGCATGAATTCATGGCACAAAAATACAGCATCTGGGCTGGGCGCGGTGGCTCATGCCTGTAACCTCAGCACTTTGGGAGGCCGAGGCAGGTGGATCACTTGAGGTCAGGAATTCGAGATTAGCCTGGCCAACATGGTGAAACCTGTCTCTGCTAAAAATACGAAATTATCCAGGCATGGTGGCAGGCACCTGTAATCCCAGCTACTCAAGAGGCTGAGGCAGGAGAATCGCTTGAACCCAGGAGGCGGAGGTTGCAGTAAGCTGAGATCGTGCCACTGCACTCCAGCCTGGGCAACAGAGTGAGACTCTGTCTCAAAACAGAGTGTGGCCTGAGGAACAAGGCCACAACTCATCTTGAACAACCACAGCATCTTCACCATTTCCAACCGAGTGACAGGAGCCTGGTAAATTCCTATTTTGTCATTGCTATCCACCTAACAGTGCTGGCATTTAGAATTCATGGTTATTCTTGTTTTTTATAAAATCAATGCCAGCTGTCCCCTCACGTGGTCTCTGTATTTGCCCTGTACTCACACTTTGACACTGTGCTCAGCACACCTCCTTACAAGCCCAGAATAAATCCACAGGGCACTTCTTTACTTGCCCTAAACTGAACACACTCACACATGCACACACATGCCCACACATGCCCATACACAGTAGTGAACTCTGTAGATTCGAGAAAAGATGTCGGAAAAAGGACAGAGGGTGAGGTTACATTGCATGGCTTACAGCGGTCATCTGTGGAGCTGGCCTCCACACTCTGTCTTCCCACTCACTGCCTCTCTGGACCTTCCTTTATCCCCTACAGCCCAACAGCCGGCCAGCCTGTCTTCCCAGTCACTCTTCCTTCTCAGTAACCTCAGATGTCTTTCCTCTTCATCAAGCGGCGCAGGGCAGCCCACTTCACCCAGCCTCTTCCTCCACATTTGCATTCCCCAAAACATAGCTGTGCTCGGAGGGAAAAACTCCTCTAGTTTCTAGGACTCGCTTTCCTTAGAAGGCAATAGGAAGTTATAAATAACAACAAAAAATAAAATAACTCACTCTCGTCCCTCTGTTTCCAAGCAGTCGATGTGAATTTGTTTCTAAGCAGAGAATTTCTAAGCAGGGAATCTGACTCCCTCAGAATATAAATGCTACATTTATATACCTTAACAAGTTGATCATTCTATATAAATTAGATAGTTTGCACTTCTGTTTTCTTTTTCAGCTAACCTATGGCATTTTCCCTTGTTATTAAAGCTTCCAAGAAGTCACTTTTAATTCCAGAAAACATTGCAATGAACTGATTTAACCAAAATTCACTAAACAATTACATTGCTTCTGACTTTTTGCCATTATTAATAATGCTATGGTAATCATCTTTGTACTTTTTCAATTTGCAGCTAATTTCCTAGCATAGATTCTAGCAGTGAAATTACCAGCCAAAGTCATACTAGCAGTACAGAGTAGGGCCTGGGTAAAAAGACATATGAGCAGCTTGTGTACTGGTCCACAAGAGCTGATTATTAAATTTTCAGGAATTTTTTAAGCCATTTGTTAAACATGACCATCACTAAAACTTAAATGTAATAGGTTGGGTACAGTGGTTCACGCCTGTATTCCCAGTACTTAGAAAAGCCGAGGTGGACAGATCACCTGAGGTCAGGAGTTCAAGACCAGCCTGGTCAACATGGTAAAACCCCATCTCTACTAAAAATACAAAAATTAGCTGGGTGTGGTGGTTACACACCTAAAATCCCAGCTACTTGGGGCGCTGAGGCAGGAGAATCGCTTGAACCCGGGAGGTGGAGGCCGCAGTGAGCCAGGATCGCACCACCACTGCACTTCAGCCTGTGCCACAAAGCAAGACTCAGTCTCAAAAAAATAAAAAGATAAATCTAAAAATTGTACAATTAAATAAATGTTATTAAAACAAGGATAATAAATACTCATAACTCAGAAAAAAGAAAGAGTATAAATACTAGATGTGTATTCCAAGAGGCCACTTGACCCAAAGCCTCACTCCTAAATCTAAACCTTTCCTCCCATAAGTGACACGCATCCCTCAGCACAGACAGTTGAGGTGTGCTGGCAGGCGCCACAGAGGTTAAAGCAGTGAGGCCATGGGGACCCATCCCATGGGACAGCTGCAGGAGAGAGCCTGATGAGGGCACTGCCTGGGCCTACTGACCTGTGTGCACAGCTGCTTGGGGCTCACTCCAGAGTGAGACTACTGTTCCCCTATTGGCTGCACACAGACAGCCCAAAGCCAGACTGCACCATGGTCCATGTGGCTCTGTCAAATGAGCCTGAGGCATAAATTCTAGGTTTCTTTTAAAAAGTATAAATGGTGAGACGGCTTTTCTAACTATGCCCCCAAATTTAGAAAATATAAAAGAGGCCAGGTGCGGTGGCTCACACCTATAATCCCAGCACTTTGGGAGGCCGAGGTGGGCAGATTACCTAAGGTCAGGAGTTCAAGACCAGCCTGACCAATATGGTGAACCCCTGTCTCTACTAAAAATACATCGTGGCACGTGCCCATAATCCCAGCTAATCGGGAGCTGGGGCAGGAGAATCACTTGAACCCGGGAGGTGGAGTTGCAGTGAGCCAAGATAGTGCCAGTGCACTCTAGTCTGGGAGACAGAGTGAGACCAGCTGGAAGGAAGTGGGGAGGGGGAGGGGGAGGAGGAAGAAAGGAAAGAGTGAGTATAAAAGAAAATTTAACTTATAATAAGAATTTCTGCATGACAAAAAATTTCATCATGAAAATCAAAAAATAAGTGCCAAATGGAGAAATGATGCTTATCACAGACGAAAGAATCCTCTTCCCTAATATTTAAGGAGTTCTTAGAAATCGATAAGGAAAAGATAAAACAATAAAAATAATTTACAGCACATTGTGCAGTAGAATACTATGCACCTATTAAAAAAAACCCTAAATATATAATGTAAGAATTGATATGAAAAGCCTTCTAAAAACTACTTAAATGAGGGAAAGCAGTCAAAGTGCAGAACCCCATACATAATACACAAACTTTTATACAAAAAAAAAGAGGAGGAATAAGGCCTTTCATGTTGGTAATTGCAGAAACAAAGTGGGCAGATACATAAAAACTAAGAATCAATAGTTACCGCTGGAAGAAGAGGGAACAGAGTAGATGGAGGATGAGAGAGCAGCTCAGCCATTTCTCAGTATACCTTTTTAAACCTTCTGGTTTGAGAACTTTATACTTGACAAGAAAGGAACGGGTGGGAAGGAGGGAGAGAAAAAATGAAAACATCATCAACCATCCCTAGACTTCAGGCAAAGGGAGAAGAAAGTTATGAGTAACCCCAAACCCCAACTGAAGCAAAATTCAGACACCCCTTCATTATCTGGGGGTAACCAGACTCTCTGGCAGATTACCTGAGGAGCCGGCAGGTGCTCACCACTCAGCCTCTGGCCCTTCTGGGGACAGTGGCTGTTCAGCAGTGGTAGGGGGAGAGGGGCATCCAAGAGGAGAGAGGCGAAACCTTGGGGCTGGCCTAAGGTGGGGACCCACAGGTAGAAGGAAGAGAGGTTCCCTGCAACCTCCTAACCTTTGGTCCTGGCACTTTTGGTCACCTGAGTGCCCTTGCCAAACAAACCATCAGGGAACACAAATGTGTGTGAGGACCCTCCTGCATCTATCCGTGCTAAACTACAAACCTACTACTCCAATTGGAGATAAACCGGCGCTGCCTGGGGCTCCGAGAGGCAGTAAGCCGAGGTGACCGCCATGCTGCACCCATCTGAGGTCTCATTACGAGTTCTTAACCTGGGGCCCTTAGAGTCTTAAACTGTATGCAAACATTCTAGGTCTTTATATATGCACATTTTAAGGGAAAGAAGGTACACAGCTTTCTTCAGATTCTCAAAGGAATCCTTGGCCGGGCGCGGTGGCTCAGGCCTGTAATCCCAGCACTTTGGGAGGCCGAGGCGGGCGGATCACGAGGTCAAAACATCGAGACCATCCTGGCCAACATGGTGAACCCCAGTCTCTACTAAAAAATACAAAAATTAGCCGGGCGCGGTAGCGCGCGCCTATAGTCCCAGCTACTGAGAAGGCTGATCTCCTTGAACCCAGGAGGCGGAGATTGCAGTGAGCCGAGATTGCGCCACTGTACTCCAGCCTGGTGCCTAGTGACAGAGCAAAACTCTGTCTCAAAAAAAAAGGAATCCTTGACCTTAAAAAGGTCAAGGTTCCCAGAACTCCGAAGTTACAAATCTCCAACCTCCACACCCCTCCTCCCTCTCCTATCCCAGACTGGGGCTGAGGTCCAGAGGGGAAATGCTAGCCCCAAATTGCACAACAAATCTGGGGCAGAACCGGGACTGAGACCCCGGTGTCCGATGCCCTAATCCGAGGCCCTTGCCCCAACCAAGCCAACTCGGAGCCCCGACCCACCTGACCGTCAGGGCGAGGGGCGGCGGCGGACCCGGGCCCGGGAGGTGATGGTAGAGTCTTGCTTCCTGCTCCTGGCTCTGGCCGAGCTCCTGGAACATGGAGCTGAGGCCGGCGACCGTGCCCTTCTGGATAGCACGGAGCGAGTGGCGTCGGTACTCGTCCCGGGCGCGCTGGGCTTCTCGGCTCCTCTCCTCATCAGCTGCCTTGGACCGGCGCACTGGAAAGAGGAATAAGACAGCGTTAGCCCAGATCTGCAGCCCAGAGGGTGCACTGCGCCAGCTGAGACAGAATGTATGCGGTTGGTGAAAAAACAATTGCTGTGTAACGGCAAAAATCGCGATTACTTTTGCCCCAGTCTAATAGTTCAGGAACCGCAGGATTCACTAGGCTGCAAGGAAGCTCAGAACCCAGAACAAGAGGGCAGGCCCTGCCCAGCAGTAGCAGCAGCTCTAGGGCAAGCCTGTCCCTACAGAGGTGAAGATACCCTGACAGTTTAGGGTTGTCTGATTGTTCCTGTGACAACATTCCAGAATGACCAAAGCACTCTGGGATAGAAATTTCCATCTCCCTATGTATTTCTTCCTGGGAGTGCTCTCAAATCCCCTGCCTACTCAGCTCCCCTGTCAAGGTGGCCAGCACCTCCAGACACCACCACCATCACCCACATTGACGGTGCCAAGGCTTGGTGCCTTCGCTGTATCATCTCACTAGGAGACTTCCCCAACCACATCACCGTTTCTGCTTTATGGGTGAGGAAAGCAGCCTCTGGGAGGTTAAGTAACCTGCCCAAAGTAAATTGTTAATAAGGGGCAGAGCCCAGATGGGAACCTGGTGTGCCTGGCTCTAAATCCCAATCCCACACAGCTCTTTCCACCCCATGGCTCCACCACGCAAGCTACCTTCGATTTAAAACCCTGTGTATCTGACACCAAAGCTCTTTCCTACTAAAAAACAAGCATTTAAAGACCATCTGTCCCAACCTCCTCATGTTATTCATGTGGAAACTGAGGCCCACGGAAGGATAGCAACTTGCCCAACTGGGTGAGTGGACCAGGCCAGGAACCATCCTTCCTACAAGATGAGGTGTTGGAAACACTAGTGTCCCAGTTCTGGAGCCCTTTTTTGGTTTCCCATGACCTGGGGAGCTGGTGGGTGAGGGTATGGGGGGAAAGGGGAAGAGGATCTTTTGAAACTCCAACAGGTTACAAGACTCCAAGGCACCCCTCTCTCTAGCATATGAATATATATGTATATGTATACACTTTTTTGAGATAAGGTCTCACTCTATCACCCAGGTGCAATCACAGTTCACTGCAACCTCGACCTCCCAGGCTCAAGCAATCTTCCCACCTCAGCCTCCTGAGTAGCTGGGACTACAGGTGTGCACCACCATGCCCACATAATTGTTTTAATTTTTTGTAGAGACAGGGTTTCACTATGTTGCCCAGCCTGGTCTTGAACTCTTGTGCTAAAGTGATCCTCCCACCTCAGGCTCCCCAAAGTACTGGGGTTATAAGCATGAACCACCATGCATGACCTCTTCCATCTTTTTGTGCTCCTCAAGGAAAGGGCCTGTCTCAGCCAAGTGGCCATGAAAAGACATCTGTGTGTTGCTGTTTCTCAAAGGGAGGCCTGAGACTGGGAAGATGCAGAAAATGGAACAAAACCCATTAGAGGCAAATTCTGGAATGAAAACCAATTATTCCCTAGTCTCATTGCATCTTGGCAGGCCCCTATCTGCCTCTAAAATCCAATTATTTTGCAATATGAAACTCTTGCTGGCCTTGTTCTTCTCAATTGCACCACGCTAATGACTGCCCCAGCCCCAGTGGCTCACCTCCTCTTCTTGGAGTAAAATCTTAGTCTGTGTCTACTCCAATGACACTCAACACATGCACAGCAGGCACCTACCAAGAACTGTGCTCTCTGTTAGGATTTGCAGGATAAAGGTCAGTTGCCCTGTTCTGAAAGAAAATGTTTCTACTTCACAAGTTGTCAAAGAACCCTTTCTGGGAACAGAACATCTCCCAGATCTGAGGGAGGCAGCATGAAGTCTGTCCCTCAGAAGGTATTTATTTATGGAAGTGCCCCCATGGGTGTCCTATGCAGAATATCGACTAGGCTGTGAACTCCACAAGGGCGGGTGGAGTGTTTGCTTTGGTCTATTCATTGCTGTATTCCAGTGCCAAGAACGCGGTCCGCAGGTGATACACATTTTTGTATGATTGATTGAACTCAATTAAGTATTTCGCGCTGCCCTAAGCCCTGAGCTGGAAAAAAAGTTAATAGTGAAACAAATCCTTCTTTCAAGGCACTCAGAGGTATGCTGGGAAAATAAGACAAACAAGTATCTCTAGCATAATGAAGAAAGTAGTGAGCATCTTTTTAAAGAGACAAGTAAAGTACTGTCAGAGTTTAAGAGCAACAGCCTCGCATTCTGCCAGGGAGCCAGCAGCCATCACAGGAGAGAATTTGACTGCGTTTTGGAAGATCAGTAAGAGTTTTCCAGAGAAAGAGGGAAGAGGCCGTTCCAGAGAGAATACTGAGCTTTCGGTGGTTTGTCACTCCTTATGTTATAAGACTCCAAGACACCCCTCCCTCTGGCCTCCTATCTTTGTGCTCCTCAAGGAAGGGTTTGTTTTGTGTCTGCCAAGTGGCCCTGAAAATACATCTGCATGTTGCAGCTTCTAAAACTCAAAAGGGAGTTCTGTAAGTTCCAGACCCTAAAAACATCATGATACCTGCCTTGCATTGTGACAAAAGGCTCCAACAAGGTCAGGATGTTCCAGAACGGGCTTTGCAGTCATTAGACCAGAAATTAAAAATTAGAAGCTTGTGCCCTGCAAAGACCAGTGACTTTGGGAAGATTACAGCCCCCTGAGAGACAGTGACATTCAGTGACAGGCAGACAGGCAGGTTGCAGAAGGAAACTGTATGCAGACTAGGAAGCCTCGTTTTTGGAATCCAGACAGATGGGGCCACGAACCGTTTGTTACACAAAGACTAAACCCATTCTCCTAAAGCCCAGCTCTAATCTTACCATGCTTTTCCTCAAAAGCCTTCAGGGGCTCTCACTGCACACAGAATAAATTACAAACACCTTGGCCTGCCAGGTAAGGCCCTGAGAAGTGCTTTGCCTGCTTTCCTTACTTTCTCAGCTCAGTGGGCTCCTTCCCCAGCACACATACACACACACACACACACGTGCACTCTCTCTCTCTCTCTCTCCCTCCCTGCACTATCGCTCCACCAGGCTCCCACCAAGCTACAAACCTGCCTCTGTGCAGCTGTGTTCACCAATGCAGACCAACCCAGGTCAGCTCAGAAATCTCAGGCTCATCCTACTCCCCTGCCCAGACAGAAAAGGCTCAATGTCCTATGGAATTCAGATGATCCAGTTACATCCTGCAGAGAAACTCAATGCTTCAAAGCAACATCAATTTGTAGTAATCCCTTGGGTGAATAGAACAATGTCCCTGAAAATTAATGAATAATCCTATAATATGGGGAAAGACATCAGCAAAGATTTGAATTGTATGTGAATGTGGATGTGTTTAAATTCTGCTCTGTGTGATCTTGGGCAACTTGAATTACCTTACCTATACCTTCTTTCCTTGTCTACAAAGTGGGGACCTCTCTGGGCTGCTTTGAGATGTAAATGGGACAGTATACAGCTGGCTTGGAAAGCCCTGGCATGGGCTAGGTTTATTAAGTATTAGCCATTATTATTGTGTTTGCTGTGAGATAAAGACGCTGGAATGGCACCTTTAGAAGGGTCCGTCCCTGGATGGAGGTGGGAAGTGATGCAGGAGTGGAGGGGATGTGTGGAGTCAGGGGCTCCCGGCAGAGAATGGGAAAAACAAGTGTGAGTAGGAAAAGCCTTGGACCCCTGGGGAGAGAAAACAGGCAGCTGAGAAGCTGAAGGGATCACATAGGCCTCTTGTGACTCAGCCTGCAGGAGTTATGGTCCCCAGGTGGAAGGATGGGTTTGGCACTCAAAATGAGGTAAGCAAAGTTCACCCACAGCTAAACTTGGGCCAAAGGAAAGGGAGGCTTCTGAGGTCTGCAGCCAACCACCTGCGGTCCTGAATCCTGCGGGCAAGGCCCGATGGCTGCCAACAGTGACCCCCTGTGGCCTCCAGAAGCCATTACAGAAGTTCCTTAAGACCAGAGCACTTCACACACCCAAGTGAGTGTTGGAATGACTCAGGTTCCAGGAGAGGTAAAGCCCCCAGGGATGCCTCAGCCATTCAGGAGGAGAGAGAATCCTAAGCAGGGCACAGATCGGCCACAGGGACTCAAGCTGGCATTATTCTGGGTTAGAATACCAAATATATGTGGCATCTCGAGTGTAAGGAGTGCTTCAAGTCAGTTATGTCCAAGGAGAAACTGCACGATGTCCCATTCCCATTAAGAAATAGAGAAAGCCCTTCTGTCTTCTTCAGCTATCCTCCCAGCCCAGAATTCTGCTGTGCACTCCACTCCCAGGCCAGATTCTACCCCCACAAGTTCCTTCTGGCTCTACCTCTCTCAAGCCTATAGTATTTTAGTATCACTGACCCTGTCTCTAGGGCACACTCCTTTTTCTAAGAGGAAAGGAAATGGAACCCATATCACTGGAGCCCAACCTGCTCCTGAGCCCACATTTCCCACTCTGCTCTGTCAACAACCTGGCAACCAGTGTGCAGATTGTTGGTTAAAGGCTGCAACCAGAATGACACAGGTCAAGGAGCCAGAGGTGAACACAAGTCCCGCTGATGACTCCAAAATCCTGCTTACATTTCTAACCAAGTAACACCAGCAATGATAAATGCCCAATTTTTACAAATAATATCATTTGTCAAGTCAGGCTAGCTCATCTCTAAATCTCGAGGCAACTAGATGTTATCTAATTCCACACTCCTACAAGTTCACAGCTGAAAAACTATGAAATGAATGTCTGTGCCTGATGTATTCAGAGCATCTCAGAAGCCAGAGCTCTACTGAATAACTGAATTCTCTGTTGAACTGAATAAGTAACGGTATTCAAGTGATACTAAATGGGATAATTTCCCTTTTTTCTAACTTGGAGAATTTAATTTGGGTGTTTTATCAAAAACTGCTGCTCCCCCATAAATTAATGGCCCACTATATCTTTCATATTAAATTAATTGAGTGCAGAATGGTTTTGTTGGATTTGAATGACAGGATCTGGAGTTTAACTCATCATTCTTTAAG